GTGATCCACCCGCCTCGGCCTCCCAAAGTGCTGGGATTACAGGCTTGAGCCACTGCGCCCGGCCTCCTATTTATTTTTTTTAAACGGAGTCTCTCACTGTTGCCAGGGCTGGAATGCGATGGCGCCATCTTAGCTCACTGCAACCTCTGCCTCCTGGGTCCATGCAATTCTCCTGCCTCAGCCTCAAGAGTAGCTGGGACTACAGGCACATGCCACCACACCCAGCTAATGTTTTGTATTTTTAGTAGAGACAGGGTTTCACTATGTTAGCCAGACTGGTCTCAAACTCCTGACCTCGTGATCCACCTGCCTCAGCCTCCCAAAGCGCTGGGATTACAGCCGTGAACCACTGTGCCTGGCCTTTCATCTGAGGAGCTTTTTTTTTTTCCCTCCCATCCGGCCCTGCTCATCTGAGGAGCTTTAAAAAATTACTGACGCTGGCCGAGTACGGTGACTAATGCCTGTAATCCAAGCACTTTGGGAGGCCATCGTGGGCAGACCACGAAGTCAGGAGTTTGAGACCAGCCTGGCTAACATGGTGAAACCCTGTCTCTACTAAAAATACAAAAATTAACTGGGCATGGTGTTGCGTGCCTGTAATTCCAGCTATTCGGGAAGCTGAGGCAGGAGAATCTCTTGAACCCAGGAGGGGGAGGTTGCAGTGAGCCAAGATAGTGCCACTGTATCCAGTCTACAGGGTGAGACTCCATCTCAAAAAAAAACCAAACAAAAACAAATGCATATTCTCAGGTCCCACCCTAGACCCAATGAATCAGAAACCCTACAGGTTAGTCTATGTTTTACCAGGCCTCCAGGTGCTGCTGATGCATACTAAAGTTTGAGAACCAATGAACTCGAATTCTTTTTGTTTTTTTGAGACGGAATCTCGCTCTGTTGCCCAAGCTGGAGTATAGTCGTGTGATCTTGGCTCACTGCAACCTCCGCTTCCCAGGTTCAAGCAATTCTCCTGCCTCAGCCTCCTGAGTAGCTGGGATTACAGGAGCACGCTACCATGCCCGGCTAATTTTTGTATTTTTAGTAGAGACGGGGTTTTGCCACGTTGGCCAGTCTGGTCTTGAACTCTTGACCTCAAGTGATCCACCCGCCTCGGCCTCCCAAAGTGCTGGGATTACAGTTTGAGCCACCATGCCTGGACTATTTTTTTATTTTTATTCTTTTGAGATGGAGTCTCACTCAGTTGCCCAGGCTGCAGTGCAGTGACATGATCTCAGTTCGTTGCAACTTCCACCTCCCAGGTTTATGTGATTCTTCTGCATCAGCCTCCCAAGTAACTGGTATTAGAGACATGCACCACCATGCCTGGCTAATTTTTTTTTTTTGGAGATGGAATCTTGCTCTGTCACCCAGGCTGGAGTGCAGTGGTGTGATCTCAGCTCCTTGCAATCTCCACCTTCCGAGTTCACGTGATTCTCCTGCCTCAGCCTCCTGAGTAGCTGGGACTACAGCCTCCTGAGCAGCCGTCGCACCTGGCCAATTTTTTTGTATTTTAATAGAGACAAGGTTTCACTGTGTTGCCCAGGTTGATCTCAAACTCCTGAGCTCAGGCAATCTGCCGGCCTCGGCCTCCCAAAGTGCTGGGATTACTGGTGTGAGCCACTGCATCCAGCCATCAGTGCTTTTTTTTTGAGAGGGAGTCTTAGTCACTCAGGCTGGAGTGCAGTGACGTGATCTCAGTTCACTGCAACTTACGCCTCCCAGGTTCATGAGATTCTCCTGTGTCAGCCTCCCAAGTAACCAATATTACAGGCATGCGCCACCATGCCCGGCTAATTATTTTTTATTTTTGTTTTTGGAGACAAAGTCTTGCTCTGTCACCCAGGCTGGAGTGCAGTGGTGCAATCTTGGCTCACTGCAACCTCTACCTCCCGGGTTCAAGCGATTCTCCTGCCTCAGCCTCCTGAATAGCTGGGACTACAGGCACATACTGCCACACCCAGCTAATTTTTTGTATTTTAGTAGAGCCAGGGTTTTACCACGTTGCCCAGGCTGGTCTTGAACTCCTGGGCTCAGGCAATCTGCCTGCCTCAGCCTCCCAAAGTGCTAGGATTATAGGTGTGAGCCACCACGCACAGCAATTTTTTGTATTTTTAGTAGAGACAGGGTTTTACCATGTTGGCCAGGTTGGTCTCAAACTCCTGACCTCAAGTGATCCACCTACCTCAGCCTCCCAAAGTCCTGGGAACATACATGTGAGCTACTGTGCCCGGCCTAGAATTCTAAATAGCATTATTAATAAAAGTAGTTAGTAGCATTTTATACTAACTTTTTTTTTTTTTTTTTTTTTTTTTTGAGATAGAGTCTTGCTCAGCTGCTTAGGCTGGAGTGCAGTGGTGTGATCTCGGCTCACTAAAACCACTATCTCCCAGGTTCAAGCAATTCTCTCATCTCAACCTCCCGAGTAGCTGGGATTACAGGCACCCACCATCATGCCTGGCTAATTTTTGTATTTTAGTAGAGATGGGGTTTCACCATGTTGGCCAGGCTGGTCTTGAACTCCTAACCTCAGGTGATTTGCTTGCCTTGGCTTCCCACAGTGCTGGGATTACAGGCATGAGCCACACCTGGCTATCAACCACTATTTATTGAGTGCCTACCCTGAGTGTTATGTTAGGAAGACTTGTATATTTATATCATTCAGTTCTTATAACACCTTGTAAATTAGATATTATCCTGTTTTACAGATGAAAAAACTAAGGCTAAGTGAGATTATTAACTTAACCTATAAGCTTTTCTTGAGTCTGTTTTTTAGTCACTATGATTTCAGTATGTTTTTGGGGAACAGGTAGTGTTTGGTTACATGAATAAGTTCTTTAATGGTGATTTCTGAGATGTGGTGCATCCATCACCCAAGCAGTGTACACTATACACAATTATCTCTCACCCTTCCCCTGAGTTCCCACAGTCCATTGTACTATTCTTATGCCTTTCCATCCTCATAGCTTAGCTCCCAATTATGAGTGAGAACACAGGCTATTAAACTAATAATAATTAAAGCCAAAAATGGAATTCAGATCTGCATGACTGTTAAACTGATACTCTTCCCTTCATACCATGCTGTCTCGAAAAAGATCATTTCATTCATAATGATCATATTTAGATAACAGACCAATCCATACCACTCCACACCACTCCCCATAAAGAACTTTGTGATCCTAACACCAGGTCTTACAGGATTTTTTTTTTTTTTTTTTTGGGATGAACTCTCCCAGGCTAGAGTGCAATGGCGAAATCTCGGCTTACTACAACATCCACCTCCCAGGTTCAAGTGATTCTCCTGCCTTAGCCTCCTGCGTAGCTGGATTACAGGTACCTGCCACCACCTGGATAATTTTTGTATTTTTAGTAGAGACGGGGTTTCACCATGTTGGCCAGGCTGGTCTTGAACTCCTGACCTCAGGTAATCTGCCCACCTTGGCCACCCGAAGTGCTAAGATTACAGGCATGAGCCATCTTGCCCAGCAGGCCTTACAGGATTGAGCTTGGTTTTCTCTTTCAGTCCTTCTTCTTCTGGTAACTTTGAATGCATCCAGTAGAATCGGAAATCAGTCTGCCACAGAGAAGGGAAATAGACAGATGAAATACTTTCCATTTTAAACTGTAATATAAACAAAAACACTCTTTTTTTGAGATGAAGTCTTGCTCTGTTGCCCAGACTGGAATGTAATTGTGTGATCTCGGCTCAATGCAACCTCCACCTCACGGGTTCAAGTGACTTTCCTGTCTTAGCCTCCCAAGTGGCTGGGATTACAGGTGCCTACCACCATGCCTGGCTAATTTTTGTATTTTTAGTAGAGATGAGTTTCACCATGTTGGTCAGGCAGATCTTGAACTCCTGACCTCAGGTGATCCACCCACCTCAGCTTCCCAAAGTGCTGGAATTACAGGCATGAGCCGCCATGCCTGGACTCCCAAAGCCCTTCTATTCTCACTCCCATTTCCCTTAAAACCATAATGTCAGAAAGATATTTGTAAAATCTTTGAACATGTTTCTTAAAATCCAGTAGGTTTTTTTTTTTTCTGAGACAGGGTCTCTCGCTCTGTCACCCAGGCTAGAGTGCAGTGATGTGATCATGGCTCACTACAGCCTTGATTTCTTGGGTTCAAGGGATCTTCCCATGATAGCCTCCACAGTAGATGGGACTTACAGGTGCACACTGCTACACCTGGCTTATTTGTTTATTTTTTAGATGGAGTTTCACTCTGTCACTCAGGGTGGAGTGCAATGGCGTGGTCTCGGCTGGCCCAGTGCCACTTCTGCCTCCTGGGTTCGAGCAATTCTCCCACCTCAGCCTTCCACGTAGTTGGGGCTATAGGCGCATGCCACCACAGCTGGCTAATTTTTTTAGTATTTTTAGTAGAGACGAGGTTTCACTGTTGGCCAGGCTGGTCTTGATCTCCTGACCTCGTGATCCACCCACCTTGGCCTCCCAAAGTGTTGAGATGACAGGCGTGAGCCACTGCGCCTGGCTGGGCCTCTTCATTCTTTTAAATTATTTTGCTTTCGGAAATTAAAAAAGATACATAAAGGCTTTTCTTTAAATTATAAAAATATATTTGGTTTTAGTTATCAAATTCGTAGGTTGTGAATATATGTAATATAATATCTTTCAGCAGAATTAAAGGAAAGTATGTTCTACATTGAATTTATGTTCTGAGTTGTAGGCTTGGTTCTGAACTTGGGCAAGGTACTTAACCTGTGCTTCTTAGGATCTCAGCTTCCACATCTATATGGCAAGGACAGGCTGGGTACAGTGGCTCATGCCTGTAATCCCAGCACTTTGGTAGGCTGAGGTGGGAAGATCACTTGAGGTCAGGAGTTCGAGACAGCCTGGCTAACATGGTGAAACCCCATCTCTACTAAAAACAAAAAAATTAGCTAGGCGTGGCAGCACACACCTGTAATCCCAGCTACTCAGGAGGCTGAGGCAGGAGAATTGCTTGAACCCAGGAGGCAGAGGTTGCAGTGAGCCCAGATCACACCATTGCACTCCAGCCTGGGTGACAGAGGGACACTACATCTCAAGTTTAAAAAAAAGTTTAATAATAGTACTTACTTTACCTTAAGGAGGTGTTGTAAGGGATTCAGTGTGATCATGCACAAAGTACTTAGCAATACAAATCATGATTGCTATTGTCTGAATGAGATGTATCTTAGAATTCTGTGTACCATACCTAGCAGGTTTTGGAAACCTAGTGTAGGGGAATGGCTATAGAAAAGAAGCAGCCTATGGAGACAGCCTGCATGAAGATCACAGAAGTCCTGTTCACACATCAGCCTTGGCCGCATAGCTTCAGGTTAGCAGGTCTGAGAATGTGCATTTCTACAACTTTCTGATATGCCTGGTCTGGAGAGTACACACTGAGAACCACTATAATACACTAATTGACAGGGAGTAAAGGAAGTCCAAAACCCTCAAACCCACCATTATACAACTGGGACAATGATGGGGAGAACTATTGTTAACAGGGATGGAGGCCTGTGGGGCTGACTCAGCCTCACCTGATGACTGCTGCTGTCACCTGTTAAGAATCACCAATAGTAGGGAGCCATTGTGGCTCAGGGCAGTTGTCCTGGCACTTCAGGAGGCAAGGCTACATGTTCGAGGCCAGCCTGGTCAACATAAAAACCTCTCATCCATTTAAACAAACAAACAAAAAAGAATCACCAATAGTAAAATGTTGGGGGTATGGTGAAACTAAAGGGGAGAATATTGGGGCCTCTCCTCACTTGGAATGTCTCCTCTTAGAGCTAACTTTGAGATTTGAGGTTCTGGGTCATACCAAGGAGGTCCTGCGATTTTCAGGGTCAGGATGTGGTTGGTGAAGGAGTGGAGGCTGCAAGAGTCTACCAAATGGTGACTTACATTCCACCTTCTCTCCCTGGGGCTGCCTGCACAAGGTGGCATCCCCACCCCCTTGCCCTATAATCTTCACTGCTAGAAATCCTCCCATCCTCTGGAGAGAGATAAGGGGGCGGGTGCAGCTGCTACCAAGTCCCAGCCTACACCCCTGCCGTTTCTCTCTTCCCTCCTCTCAAGAACTGCAGTTTCTCTTAGTTCCTCCTATTTCTCTTTTAAAACTAAGCTAATTTAAACACACTCAAAGATGCAGGGAGCATTAGATAATGTTCCTGATATACCACATCCTGTACACACCAAGAAGTTGGTCACGTACCAAACCCACATGCTGAGCCACTTTCCCAGGAGGAGAGGAGAAGACAGGAAGAGCCATGAGGGAGGATCCATCCCTACCTGGCAATCATAGAAAGGGTGTCCCCGCCAGCACATCACATCTAGAACGTAGTAGGTCTGGTTTACCTCACTGTAAATGCAATCTAGAATGGTGTAGTCTGGGGACACAAAGCAGAAAGTCAGCACAGAGTTCTTCTTCCAACTAGGTTCCCACCACCACAACCTAGGGAGCCCCATCCTAGAGGCTCAGGTCCAACAATCCCCAGTGCTTGCAGCAGTCACTGGCACTAAGGACTAAGGATTCACTGGGGAGAGAATCCTGTCTGGCTGCCAGCTACAGCTTCATGGTGACTCGGGTAAGACAGCACAAGACGGATCAAGGCCAAGTGACAAATTTGAAGTTTTAGATAAACTGGCATATTTACTCAACTCAGAGAGGTTTAAAAGCAAGTCATCTTCCATTTTAGTTTACAACTGCTTTTTGAGTTCCTATCATAGGCACTGTGTTATGTGGGGAATATTAACTATAAGTATTCCCTGCTTTTAAGGAAGTTACCATTTGGTTAAGGGTATAGAATGATCACAGAGGAAAGAGCGAAGAGCTGAATCACAAAGCTCATACTAAGAGCAACAGGAGCTCCAAAAAGAGAAGGCTGGAATAGCAGGAAATGCTTCAAGGGAGAGACACGATATAAATAGAGTCTTCTGGGACCAGGAGGATTTAAAAAACAGAGGGGGGAGGGGAGAAGGGAGGGCGTTTCAGACCCAAGTACTGATGTGGCATGAGCATTGGCCCAGAGGCAGAATGAATGGGGCACATGTGGGGAGGCAAGTCAGCCGAACAGAGGGTGGGTACAAGGATTAGGGTAAAGACATGGGATGGGTGGGACAAAGCCTGCATGTGAAAAGTTCTAAACACAAAGAGAGAAGTCAGAGCTAGGTTAGGCGCAGCGGCTCACGCCTGTAGTCCCAACACTTTGGGAGGCTGAGGCAGGCAGATGGCTTGAGCCCAGGAGTTCCAGACTAGCCTGGGCAACATGGCAAAATCCCATCTCCACCAAAAATACAAAATGTAGCCAGCCGGGATGGCATACTCCTGGTGGGAGGATCACTCAAGCCTGAGAGGTAAAGGTTGCAGTGAGCTGTGATTGTGCCCCTCAACCCCAGAGCCTGGGTCACAGAGTGAGACCGCGCCAAAAAAAAAAAAAAAAAAAAAGAGAGAGAGAGAAGTCTGGACTCAGTGCAGAGGACATGAGGAACAATACCAAAGGAGCCTGAGAAGGTAGAGAAGCAAGCAAGCCCAGCTCCGACAATTTCTTGCTGAATAACCGTTGGTAAGTTATTTCTCCTGCAGGACCTTAGTCTACTTAGCTGGGCCCAGTGGGGAGGAAGAAGCTAAGGTTGCAACAATGAGAAAGGAGAAAAGGGAGTTTGGCAGGGAAGCCCAGCTTCCCCAGCATCAGCTGACTCTACCATTATTCTTGGCATTCTCTCAGGGACCTTTCCCCCAAAATCTGCATCTGTTGTCCTGTAATAGAAGTCCAAAGGCATGTTGATCTTAATTGAGGAATTTATGGCCCATCGGGCCTCATGGGGCTGCATTTATTCTGCAACTGAGAAGGCCTGTCCTTGAAGGGGAGGTCCTTTGTCCAGGGGCCAGGATGGTGTCTATATGTAGTTTCAAAGATAAGCTTTCAGGCCGGATGCAGTGGCTCAAGCCTGTAATCCCAGCAATTTGGGAGGCCAAGGCGGGTGGATCACTTTGAGGCCAGGAGTTCGAGACCAGCCTCGCCAACATGGTGAAACCCAGTCTCTACTAAAAATACAAAAATTGCTGGGCATAATAGCGCATGCCTGTAATCCCAGTTACACAGAATGCTGAGACAGGAGAATCGCTTGAACCTGGGAGGCAGAAGTTACGGTGAGCCAAGATTGCGCTACTGTTCTCCAGCTTGGGCGACAAAGTGAGACTCCGTCTCAAAAAACAAACAAAAATAAACAAAGATAAGATATCAAAGTGGGTCTTTAAAGCAAATTACACTGTCTTTTACTGATTAATACGTAGATATTCTATGTAGGTACCTTTTGCTGTTGAGTTTTGCCGATTGCCACCTGGCAGAAGGGAGGGAAACCTGTTGACACAGTAGCCACTCTTGGTGTAGGCACTGGTAGAACCCTGTGTGGAGAGAAAGTTATCATTCTCATTAGACCACAGGGTTTCCTCACCCTGTTTTTTGTTTTTTTTGTTTTTTTTTTTTTGAGACAGAGTTTCGCTCTTGTTACCCAGGCTGGAGTGCAATGGCACGATCTCGGCTCACCGCAACCTCCACCTCCCGGGTTCAGGCAATTCTCCTGCCTCAGCCTCCTGAGTTGCTGGGATTACAGGCACGCGCCACCATGTTCAGCTAATTTTTTGTATTTTTAGTAGAGACGGGGTTTCACCATGTTGACCAGGATGGTCTCGATCTCTTGACCTCGTGATCCACCCGCCTCAGCCTCCCACAGTGCTGGGATTACAGGCTTGAGCCACCGCGCCCGGCCCTCCTCACCCTCTTGCTTCCTCATTCTGCAGGGATGTCACCAGACAAAAGATGGCTCTCAACAAACCTTCCTGCAGGGAAGTGTTTTTAAGCTCCACTCCGGGCACGGCTGCTGTGGCGGATAAGATAAATGGAGCACAAAGAATCCCTCCTGCTACAGACCAGGCCTACTGGCATAGGGGGCAGGCAGCTACTCACCCTGGAGGCTACGATAAGGGCTCTCTTTCCAACAGGGCACACGACCACAATCCATTCCTGCCCCAAATCTGAAGGGACATCAATTAACCACTCAGAAAGCATCAACTGGAAATGCAAAAAATAGTGTTAAAGACTAGCAGGGGTGTGCTACTCAAATGTCTGCAATGGCAAGGCATTCATATCCTGTGCATATATTAAAACGCGAGTGAAAGAGTGAGGGCAGAAAAGGCTGACAGTGGCACCTCCACCCCATGTGCTCTAGGGAGTTGGTTGTGTCTCTGCACAGCTGACAGGATGGGGGCCACTGACTGTGAACTCCGGCTTCACTCCTCCATCTCTGCCTGCACCCACAGCACACTTACTGCGTCACCTCCCCGGTCGGGGTGAATGCTCTTCCTTTCCTTACTTTGTCCACCTCTTCCTATCATCATTGCTATTATGTTCCACGGCCACAACTCAGATGAATGAGATCCCTGTCCTTAAGATGCTCTTAGACTAGACCAGCACTTCCCAAACTGATGCCCCCAATACTGTACTAAAGGATGTTAGGAAATCTGCCTTAGAAAACAAAACACCACCAAATCAAACAAACAAAAACAGTAATGTGGTGAGATTAACTTGGGAAGACCAACTCTTCCACTCACGGTCTCTTCCATCTGTAAAGACTTTGTCCCATCAACTAATCCCTACCATTGAATCTTTCATTTCTCCTTCCCTTCAGACACTCACTCTCAATCTTAAAAAACAAGACAAGGCCAGGCACGGTGGCTCACGCCTGTAATCTCAGCACTTTAGGAGGCTGAGGCAGACAGATCATGAGGTCAAGAGATCAAGACCATCCTGGCCAACTTGGTGAAACCCTGTCTCTATTAAAAATACAAAAATTAGCTGGGTGTGATGGCATGCACCTATAGTTCCAGCTACTTGGGAGGGTGAGGCAGGAGAATTGCTTGAACCCTGGAGGTGGAGGTTGCAGTGAGACAAGATTGCGTCATTGCACTCCAGCCTGGTGACATAGCGAAACTCTGCCTTAAAAAAAATAAAAATAAAAATAAAAATAGCCGGGCGCGGTGGCTCAAGCCTGTAATCCCAGCACTTTCGGAGGCCGAGGCAGGTGGATCACGAGGTCAAGAGATCGAGACCATCCTGGTCAACATGGTGAAACCCCGTCTCTACCAAAAATACAAAAATTAGCTGGGCATGGTGGTGCATGCCTGTAATCCCAGCTACTCAGGAGGCTGAGGCAGGAGAATTGTCTGAACCCAGGAGGTGGAGGTTGCGGTGAGCCAAGATCGTGCCATTGCACTCCAGCGTGGGTTACAAGAGCGAAACTCCGTCTCAAAAAAAATAAATAAATAAATAAATAAAATAAAAATAAAAAGACAAAAAAAAAACCTTTTTGTCACTCGGCATTTCTGTTGGGCTACTCCACTTTCCCCTAGTTTAAAAAACTACTTAATATTTCTTGATGCTGCCTTCCTGCTCACTCTGACAGCCTCAGTCCAGATTTGCTACCCCACAGCCCTTTGCTACCCCAAAGGCCCTCAGTGACCTCTTCCTTTTTATTTTTGAGATGGAGTCTCACTCTGTTGCCCAAGCTGGAGTGTAGTGGCATAATCTCGGCTCACTGCAACCTCCACCACCCAGGTTCAAGCAATCCTCCATCTCAGTCTCCCTAGTAGCCGAGACTATAGGCACGTGCCACTACACCTAGCTCATTTTTTATCTCACCTATGTCTACAGCTTCACTTGTTACTTCTAAGACGATGCCTCCTAAGGCTCCTCCTTCATCTCCAGACTTCTTTCCTCCACACCTAACCATATTATATTGCCGGATGTCTGCTTGGCATGTCTTTCTCTGATTGTCTCCTCTGCACCTAAAACTCAGTATACCCAGAATGGAATTCACTACCTTCTGTTGCCTAAGTACTTCCCGCCCGTGAAACACCTACCCTTCCCTTCTGCATCTCATAACCGTGATAACGGCATCACCACTCTGTTACTGAATCTTGGATTTTAAGCAAAATCAAGACAAATTAGACTACAGCAAAATTTAAAAATTCTGTGCTGCCAACAATATCACAAAGAAGGCAAAAAGACAACCCACAGAATGAAAGAAAATATGTGCAAATCATGTATCTGATAAGGAACTTGTATCTAGAATATGTTAAAAACTCTTACTATTCGATAAGAAACAGACAAATAACTCAATTAAAAAATGGGCAAAGAATTTGAATAGACAATTCTCCAAAGAAGATATACAAATGAACAGCTGGGCCAGGTGGCTCACGCCTGTAATCCCAGCACTTTGAGAGGCCAAGGTGGGCGGATCACCTGAGGTCGGGAGTTCAAGACCAGCCTGACCAACATGGAGAAACCCCGTCTCTACTAAAAATACAAAATTAGCTGAGCATGGTGGTGCATGCCTGTAATCCCAGCTACTCGGGAGGCTGAGGCACGAGAATCACTTGAACCCAGAAGGCGGAGGTTGCAGAGCTGAGATCATGCCCCACACTCCAGCCTGGGCAATGAGAGCAAAACTGTCTCAAAAAAAAAAAAAAAAAGCTATACAAATGGCCAATAAGCACAAGAAAAGATGTTTAACATCATTAGTCACTAGGGAAACACAAATCAAACCCACAAGAAACCACTTCGGACCCACTAGCACGGCTATACTTTAAAGGATGGACAACAGCAAGTGTTGGTAAAGCTGTGGAGACACTGGAACACTTACATGTTGCTGGTGGGAATGTAAAGTAGTGGAGTCACTTTGGAGAACAGTCTAGCACCCCCTCAAAACGTTCAACAGTTATCATATGACCCAGCAATTCCACTTCTAGGTATATACTTAAGAGAAATGGAAACATATGTTCACACAAAAACTTACTAGTACATGAATGTTAATAATGGCATTATTTGGCCGGATGTGGTGGCTCACGCCCGTAATCCCGGCACTTTGGGAGGCCAAGGCAGGTGGATCAGCTCAGGTCAGGAGTTTGAGACCAGCCTGGCCAACATGGTGAAACCCAATCTCCACTAAAAATACAAAAATTAGTCCAGTGTGAGGACATATCCCTGTAGTCCCAGCTACTAGGGAGGCTGAGAGGGGAGGATCATTTGAACTCGGAGATGGAGGCTGCAGTGAGCCAAGAACATGCCGCTGCACTCCAGCCTGTGTGACAGTGAGACTCCATCTCAAAAAAAAAAATAAATAAAATTAATTTAAAAATAAAATTAAAATGGCATTATTCCTAAGAGCCAAAAAGTGGAAGCAACTCAAATAGCCATAAACTGAAGAATGAATAAACAAAACGTAGTCTATCCATACAGTGGAATATTATTTAGCAATAAAAATGAGTGAAGTACTGACACATGATACACCATGGATGAACCTTGAAAACCTCACACTAAGAAGCAAGTCACAAAGGTCCACATAGCATATGATTCCCTTTCCATGAAATGTGCAGAACAGGCACAGCAAGTAGCTTAGTGATTAGGGGCTGCAGGGAAGATGGAGAGTGACACTAAGTATATGAGGTTCTTTTGGAGGTAAGGAAAATGTTCCAGAATTAAATAGTGGTGATGGCTGCATAGTCTCATGACTATACTAAAGAAAAAACAAAACAAAACAAAAAAAAAAGCTGTACAATATAAATAGGCAAATTGTGTGGTATGTGAATTATATCTCAATATAACTAAAAAATAGTAGTAGCAGCTAATACTTGTGGGGCACTTAGGGGCTCTGGGCTAGGTATTTAAGGCACATTATTTCATTTAATTCTTCTACCAATTCTATGAGACAGGGACTATTACTATCTCCTATTTTACAGATGAGAAACCAGAGACTTAGAGTGGTTACACAGCTTGCTTAATGTCAACACAGAGCCTAGCTGTGAGAGCAGGTCTATGTGACCTCAA